TTCAACAATGGTTTTATAGCTGACACGAGGTTACTACATGAAACTACAATGTCCCATGTAAGAAACAGTTGCCAACCTAAAAACAATCAGGAAGAACTTTCCCAACAATACTAGTTGGAAGACCAGCAATGGTTGTATGCAATCACCAAAGGGAACAGTGGGTAAAGAACAAAAGCTAGCAAAGCCTTTGAAAAGAAAAGTAGCATACTAAACAGCTGCAACAGCAAAGCAAATGAGACTCAACAATATAAAAACAAGCAAACCGGCAGTGCCCGAGTTGTACAAAGCTGACAGCACTCTTCCTCTCAAAAATGTACTAAATTGCAATCCAATACATGAACAGATCACTTATTGCACTATATTATATGCATACATTCTTATTTTGACATTAAAGGGCAGTACTTGTTAAAAACTGGGACACTAACTGATGGTTTAAAAAATTGCAGTAATTTAAATGTAAACTCGGATAACTTCTAGGTCGTGTTTAACGGACAGATATAAAATACAGACATCTGACATCTACCTTCCATTTTGTAAGGGTAGCAAAGAAAGAAATCTTGTAGGTACACAAACAAATGTATATAAGCAAGATACTGGTGCAAATGGGTAAGCAAGCAAAACGTTTTGCCCATTTAAACCTCTCGTTGTTATTTAGATAGATTATTCTTTACTTCATACTTCATAGCTTTGCCATGTAGAATCCACCTGAAAGCAGTTTCGCATTTCTATATTGAAGAGAGGGATTAAGAAAAGCTACTCTGAATGACACTAAAATCCAAGACAGACACTTACTTAAGGGTGGTTAATTGTTAAACACTGACAAAATGCTAAGTCATGTGATACAAGCAATCCATATTCAAGCCTAGTCTGAATGGCAGGATCTGTAAACCGCAACACTGCATCTTCAGCACACAAGGCGAATGGCTCTGCCAAAACAGATGCTTATTCTCAAGTGGCAGGTTTCCATTTTTAACTAATCTTGTAATTCAATAAAAATTTATTGGAAGAATTACGTTCTCATCAAAATTGTTTTAGACAAATCTGTATTTTTCTTACAAAAAATTGAATAAAAAAAATATCTGCCCTCCTCCTACCCAGAAGTGCTGCCCTACTCAGCCCAGAAGTTGCTCTATTTCAGCAGCACATGATATTTACATGTACAGATATTTAACACACTAATATGAAGTAAAAACATCTGCAATCCTTCAAAATGAGGAGGGGAATATATCTCACCTACTTGAAAAATCTTGGGTTTAATCATACTTGAAATTGGAAAGTATATATCAAATACTGGAAGTTATAGAATAATTTTTTAAACATACTTGTAGCAGCTGTTCAATGTCTTGTTTTTCCAGGTAAGAACGAGTAACAACCCGTCCATCGAAGTCTACTTCTGCCTTGAATCTCACTTTGCTCATTCCCATGTCTGTGGCTTTAACATCATGAATTGCTCTGAAACACATAATTTTTAAAGAAAATGTAGAACAACATAAAACAAACAACTAGCTCGTTTGACTTCTGATGTTAGCAATATCATCACAGTAAAATGATCCTGTAATTTTAAAAGGCTACTGCCTTTGACTAACATATCCTCATTTTGGATTCACACACTTCCATTAAATACTGATTTATATTTAACCGGTTATACCACTTCCACAGGTATCTGCTACACCAATACATTATAAAAGGCTCACTGCAATAAAAGACAGACTACAAGAAGCATCACAGATTTAGAACTAGACTAATAGTGTAAAAAAAACCCACCCCATCCCACAATAGAAAGTGAGAACTTCCCTATTCCGAGTTCAACTTTTAAGTTCAACTTATTTGCTACTGCACAAAAGTTTTTGTGCATATACATGACACTGTTTAATAATCTTTAAGTACCCTCAATTCTGAGGTAAGGAACAATAATCTATTGTCAATTACTGAAAGCACACATTGCAATTACAGACGTGTTCTTTCCTAGATAAATAGAATTTGTAAAGGCATGACCTTTTGGAGAATTTTCTATTCAAAGTTACATCTGATGTAAAAAAAAGTTAAGGATATTGTGTCTGGAACTCATTTTTGATCATACTTAATTATTGATCACAACTAATCACATTACAGCTGTTTGTAAATGGTGAAAATGTATATTTATTTAAAGGTCCCTAATAGATACTAGAACATGAATGTTGCAACAGGCTTATGTTTTGGTCCTTTGAAAACTTCTGTTTTTCTATAGCATAGTTTTGTTCCAGTTTGTTAGATAAACTCCATGATGTGTAAACATAAGTAATAAACAAAAAGCCCTCTATTTTTCAGGGATAATAAAATATGAAGCAAACTCAGGACCCAGACATATTGTGGTGCATTTCAACAGTGGAATAAATATAAAATGAAATCATAAAATAAAATAATCTATGTTTTTTTCCAAGTAGATTAACACAAACTTAGTTTATCTTTAAAGCTAAGTAGATTTTAAAATTGCCACTACAGAGTAAGCTTCCACACCTTTCCATCAAGGCCAGAAAAAAGTGGAGACTAAAATATGGGGCATAAATCACCAAGAAGTTTCAAATTTTTGAAATTCTTTCTTCTGACATTGCCAAAGCAAAACAAGCATCTGAGGTCAACTATAAAATAATCCAAAGACTTTGGCTTTATTAACAGAAAAATGCAATCTTGACAATTTTTAAATTCTAACACAAAATTTAGATTCAGCAATAAAGCTCACTTGATGGAAAGTACTAAACTTTTCTCCCCCATTCATTTTACTAAGTTGTGCAATTTCACAGCATCTTTAAATTTAGCATGCCCTTTGTCTTAAGCAAATTTACTCTTCCCAACTAGAAATGTTTCTTCTCATCTGAATGTTTATAAATCAGAACTAACTTCACAGGCAGTGCAGGAAGAAAGCCGAAGGCATATATTTCTGAAGTAGTCTGCTAGAGCGAACAGTCGACAAAAAACAGGAGGCAGAAATTTAAGATGAACAGTCACAGGAAATGTTTATAGAATATTTCTTGTAATACTCGGGCTGGAGGAGGGGTAAGCACATTAAAAAAGAAATAGAACCTGAACTAAATATAGAGACACTGAAAAATACATCTTAGTAAACATTTAAGCAGATTAAAAGAACTATCAGCTTGCTGGTAGCAATAAAGAATTTCCAGCTCCAATCAAATTTACAAAGCTATTCCGTGGGAAGCTACCAAATCAAAACAGTATTAACTGGAGTAACCCAACCAGCATCAAACTACCTCCTCACACAAGAGGGTATTTGAGATAACGGATGTGGTTCAGTGAGGGTTACTGAAGAGAATTTGCATCCATGTGATTCAAAAATGTTGGAAGATATATCAAGTGCCTATCGGAGCTAAGCAAGAAGATAACAAGAGATATTTGAGATTCTCATTAAGCAGTAACCTGATAAAATTCAGTGGAATGATGCATATTCTGTAAATGTGAAGAAAAAAAGTCTACCTTACTGCATATAATCTGTCCAGGAAAGATAAGACAGTGAGTCAGGAAGAGAAAAATCACTAATAATTCAAAAATACAAATGTGTATGCTAAAACTTAAGCTACAAAGCTTGCTTATGGAAGCTTCTGGATGGCTAGTAGACACCACCAATTCAATCTAAAAAAGAGCAAGTTTCACATTAAAGAAAAATTTGTCAGAGGACATCAAGTTATTGCTTTTGAGCCATCAGTTGTAATCCTTTTTTTTTCCCCCCTCCAAACCGGAATGACAGATTTTCCAGCACAACAGTAGCATAATTACCCAATAGCTGTTACAATGAAGTAAAAATTAAAGATGAAACTGTCACTAAGAATAGTTTATGCCTAGGGATCTGTGATTACATTCCATAAGAACAGAATCAGGACAGTCTGTACCACATCATGTATTTTATTTCACAGTTCTGAAAGCCTAATCTCCTACACTTCAGTTAAGCTGAACACAAGAAAGATTTAGGCACCAAAGGTGTGAATGAGAGTTAAGAATCAAATGTTTGTATAGCAAAAAATAAAATAATTTTCCAGCTGAGAACAACTCTGACTGAAAGCCCATTCTGGATCACAGATGAAATAAAGGCTACAAATAGAAATTACCAAGCAAAATGAAAAGAAAAGGGAAATAAATAGCCATGAGCCTAAAAAAGAAATTAGGAAGTCCAGCAAACTGATAGGAGAAGCATAAAAAAAGGCATTGTGTGTGATACAAACCAACATTTTTTAAGTATAGCAAAACCAAAGGATAACCTGGAAACAAGCCTGCTACTAGATGGAAATGGTAAAATTGTTACTGATGATACGGAATGGGCAGAAACATGCAATAATCATTGTTTTCTTGGTCCAAAAAAGCAAAACAATATATTAGTACAACAAAGCATTTCCCTATTAGTAGCAGAAAAGCATACTGGATATTTAAAATGAAAAAGAATGCTGCTAATTCAGCAGGCTCCATAACTTACATTCAAGAGTAAAAAGAACTAAGAATAACTGTGAAAGCAAATTAATTTTTCATCTTGCAATACTGATGAGAATTAAAAAAAAAAAAGATTAGATTAACAACACTGTGCCAAAATTAAGAGCAGCAAATAAGGCAATCCATTTAACTAAAGACAACTTCACCTGACAACCCAAGGAAAAAATGTGAAAAAGGGGGAAAAAAAATTATATATTAAGAGCATTAACTTCAGTCATTAAGGTTTTAGGGAACATAAGTCTTGTCAAACAACCCTGTTAAAAAAAATCATCAAGATTTAGCTGAAAAAAAGATCAACAACACAAAGATTATTTATTTTAGTAGTACAGCAGTTAGTATTTTCTGATAAATCAAATATTTTATAATTAGCAGCGGAACATGATGTTCAGGCAAGCTACTGCTAGAATAAAAAGTGGTGGTGGTGCTGACAGGGGCAGGGGAGGGAGCAGAAATCAGAGCCTCTGGATCCTTTGGTCAATTTGGATCTAAAATACCTTCTGATGAATACTAAATGATTCCCTAATATATCCCCTTCATATTTGGCAGAACACATCTGAAAATAAAAGATTGCAAACCCTCCCTGAAATAACAAGGGAGGACTGTTCTGGGAAGCAGCAACTGCAAAAAGGATTGTATTGAGAACTCAGATACAGTTTGATAGCTGAAAACCCTGAAAGGCTGCAATAAAAAGAGCAAATATTAGTCACAGCTTTAGAAGCAGACCAGTATTCAGGAGCTTTTACTTTTACATTTGGTGTCAGCAGG